ATATTTCTTATCTCTGCCATTCCTGAGCTGATACTGTGTCAACACGAGTGAGTTGGGCCTCGGGGGTGGTGGGGGAGGAGGTTTTTTTTTTGTGGCTTTGCTGAAGTGGGGCAATAAATCCTTCCTCTTCTCCCCCACGCTCAGGTTTTAACCAAGAAGAAATTACAGGACCTGGTGCGGGAGGTGGATCCCAACGAGCAGCTGGATGAAGATGTGGAGGAAGTAGGTACCCACCCACGGCAGGGGCTGCAAAAAGAGTTCATCTGGGATTTTTTTCATGGACCTTTTGTCCAAAACAGGGAGGGTTGGTTCGTATAACGCTGACCATTCGTGTCTGACATCAAAAAGGGGTTTAAAACAGATATAACGCTGACGCATTCTCAACCATCTGTGTCTGACATCAAAAAGGGGTTTAAAACAGCCACTGCAGCCACTGCCTTTGAAATTCTAGCTTCTGGGCGTTGGTTTTCATGCTTTCCCCATCATTTCAGCTGCTGGAGCACTGATAAAAGTGGTTGTCATCCTTCTTGTGGTGCAGATGCTGCTGCAGATCGCCGACGATTTCATCGAGAGCGTGGTGACGGCCGCCTGCCAGCTCGCGCGGCACCGCAAGTCCAACACCCTGGAAGTCAAAGATGTCCAGTTGCATCTCGGTGAGTGATGATTATGGGGGTTTTTTTAGTTTTTTCCCTCTCATCCGAGAGCTGGGCACTCACCCAGAATTCAGGGCATGGCCCAGTTGTTGGGGTGGAAACCTGTGAGTAGCTACAAATTCATTGCTACTGAATAACCCCTTAATAACCAAGGGGATGAACGAGGTGGCTGCTTCTAATTATCCCTCTCCAAATTTAGCAGTTTGTAGCTTTCCATCAGCCAATGTGGGAAGGTCCCAAGCGCAGGGGCTGCATTTTTATCCTGTTTTAATACCGTGCAGCCCTTTACTGCTCTGTTTTTGGGAAGCTTTTCTAGCTGGTTGATGGCTCCCCAGCACGTCTCCGTGTTGGTGGTGACGCGGTGGCTCTTGTGGTGGGCAGTTGGGGTAGAAGGTGCTGACCCCCCCTGTCTCTTCCAGAGCGTCAGTGGAACATGTGGATCCCGGGCTTTGGTTCAGAAGAAATCAGGCCCTACAAAAAAGCCTGCACTACAGAAGCTCACAAACAGGTAAAGAGCCCTCAGAGACGCCGAGAATCGATGTGGGGAGGGTGGACGTGGGGAGGGTGGTCGTGGACTCCTGGCACGATGTGGATTTGTAGCCTCTTCCAAGAGGTTTGGACTCGGAATAACTTCCAGAATCTCCTCGCCTGTTTGTGGGGAGAGGATTGAGGTTGCTCTGACTCCTCTGTGATGGTGCAGCACTGGCTGTGCCCTGAGAGAAGCAGCAACACTCGCTCTCTGAAGGGCAGCCCGGCTTGGAAGGGCTGAAAAACAGCTGAGAGTCACAGACAGTGACTTGTCAGCTGCCCCCTGGCAAAACACACTGCCTGGGACTCCCTAAGAATTTAAACAGCTGCAAAAAGCCTAAAGGCCTGAGGAGGTCAGAGAACACACTGTAGTCCTGGGGGCACAGCTGTAGGTTGGAGCTGAGGGGATCTGGGGTTTTTTCGTGGCACGACGTGGATTTGTAGCCTCCTCCAAGAGGTTTGGACTCGGAATAACTTCCAGAATCTCCTCGCCTGTTTGTGGGGAGAGGATTGAGGTTGCTCTGGCTCCTCTGTGATGGTGCAGCCCTGGCTGTGCCCTGAGAGAAGCAGCAGTGCTCATTTTCTGAAGGGCAGCCCGGCTTGGAAGGGCTGAAAAACAGCTGAGAGTCACAGACAGTGACTTGTCAGCTGCCCCCTGGCAAAACACACTGCCTGGGACTCCCTAAGAATTTAAACAGCTGCAAAAAGCCTAAAGGCCTGAGGAGGTCAGAGAACACACTGTAGTCCTGGGGGCACAGCTGTAGGTTGGAGCTGAGGGGATCTGGGGTTTTTTCTCCCCTTAATTTTGCTTTCACTGAATCGGGCCATTGCTTTTCTCGTGTCCCATCGGAGCTGGGGAGGAGCTGCCCTGCAGGATCCTGCACAGGCTCACAGAATGGTTTGGGTTGGAAGGGAACTTAAGGATCATCTCATTCCACGCCCCTGCCCTGGGCAGGGACACCTCCCACCAGCCCAGGTTGCTCCAAGCCCCCTCCAACCTGCCCTTGAACCCCTCCAGGGATGGGGCAGCCACAGCTTCTCTGGGCAACCTGGGCCAGGCTCTCACCACCCTCACACCAAACAAGTTCTTCCCCACATCTCAGCTCCATCTCTCCTCTTTCAGGGTCAAACCCTTCCCCCTCGTCCTCGGGCTCCCCTCCCTGATCCAGAGTCCCTCCCCAGCTTTCCTGGAGCCCCTTGAGGGACTGGAAGGGGCTCTGAGGTCTCCCCGGAGCCTTCTCTTCTCCAGGCTGAACCCCCTCAACTCTCTCAGCTCCCCCTCCCAGCAGAGGGGCTCCAGCCCTCCCAGCATCTCCATGGCCCTCCTTGATACCAATATATCCACCCTCAGATGGCACCACTTTGGGATCAAGGGCCGTGGTGCAGACCAGGGGACTGTCTCGTTCTTCCAGGGATGGAGCAGCCACAGCTTCTTGGGGCAACCTGGGCCAGGCTCTCACCACTCTCCCACCAAAGAAGCTCTTCCCCACATCTCAGCTCCATCTCCCCTCTTTTAGTGTCAAACATGTTCCTCCTCATCCCATCACTCCCCTCCCTCATCCAGAGTCCCTCCCCATCTCTCCTGGAGCCCCTTGAGGGACTGGAAGGGGCTCCAAGGTCTCCCCGGAGCCTTCTCTTCTCCAGGCTGAACCCCCCAACTCTCTCATCCCGTCCTCCCAGCAGAGGGGCTCCAGCATCTCCCCTTTTAAAGCTCCTGGGCAGAGAGGGGAGGGTTTGAGGTGGGGTTTGATCCCCTGAGCTGGTTGCTCCATTGCCCTTCCCTGGGTGTTTCCCTTCCCAGCCCCAGGTGCTGAGCAGAGGAGCACAGACTCTTCCTTTTCCTCTGGCTCGAGACCCCATTAAGATTCAAACAGACCTGAAATTCCTGTGTGGAGACAAGTCGGGCCGTGCCCTGAGAGAACCCCACGTCCCCCCTGTTCCTGCCCGGCTTTTTTGCAGTAACCTTTGTCTGAGACACTCTGCTTCCCACATTTTTCTCTTTCTCCTTGCAGAGAATGGCACTGATTCGCAAAACTACCAAGAAATAGCCCCTGGGAAGAGCCGGGAGAAGACGCCAGTGCATTTTGGGATGTTTGCCTCTCCACTACAGCCTCCACGATGCCATCCATGGGATATTTTTTTTAATGCTTTACAGAGAAGCATATATTTTTTATTATCGGTGCAGCAATATCTTGACTTTCTGAGGAGATCTGCCAAAAAAAAAACAACAACCCCACCATTCTACGCCTCCCCCCTCCCCTTCCTCCTGCCCCCTCAGAGCGCGACGTATCTCAAAACAAAGACTTTTATTTGTGACTTGAAAGTGGTTTATCGTCTAAGTGATTATCCCGAGGGACAGAGCGTTTGATCTCGTGTGGGACAGTATTAGAAGCATCTGTAGAGGTTTTTTTTTTGTTTCCTCCTTCCTGCCCCTACCTGCTCCAGTACTTTGTAATGTCAGTGTTTATATAAATACTTGCGTTTGTTTTACATGAATAAAGAAATTATTAATCTAAACCCGTGGCGCAGCCTTGTGCTTCTCCAGACAAGGTGGGGAGGGGATGGTGAGTGCCTGGGGGTGGCTTCCTCCTTCCCTGGTCTCTGCTTTTCTGCTCCCAGATCTCCTGCCCTTGGGCTGTGGAGGGAGGGGAAGGATTTGGCCACCTCTGCCGGGGGGTGGGCAAACACCTTCCCTCCATCTCCAGCCCAGGGTGAGTAGTTTTACTTAGAGACTGGGGCCTTTGGGAGTGGGATGGGGTGACCGAGGAGAAGAAATCGGGGTGATCCTGGGGTTCTGCTTGCCCAGGGACACCAAGAAAGGCCACGTCCCCCTTGCCTGTTCCTGCCTGCTCTGCTCAAGGCGGTGACCAGCACCTCGCTGCTGGGGCTACTGGGGAAAGTAGTTCAGGAACCAGTATGGGCATTCTCCTCCTCCCAGTGGAGCCCGGGGGCTGCCATGAACACAGCTGGGGCCCGTCTGGGTGCCCCGGGGCTGCGCTCGGCGGCTGCTGGGGGGGACGGGGAGTTGTTGAGCGGCTGCTCCAGCTCCAGGAACCTGTAGGAGCTGCTCAAACCAGACCATCTCGTCCTCCTGAGCTCTGAGCCAGCAAGTCGGGCAGTAAAAGGGAGTTTGGATCAAGGCTGAGCCCAGGTGGGACGTGGGGTGCCGGGAGGACCCACGGTTCCTCTCCAGGGGATGGCCTTGTAGGAAGGGGTTTGGAGAGAGAAAAAGGGAAGGGGGTGACACCCACCTCTGCAGCCCCACGTCCTGCCCTGGGGACTTCACCCTTCAAACCACAGAATGGTCTGGGCTGGAAGGGATTTTTTAGATCATGGAGTCCAACCATCAACCCAACGCTGCCAAAGCCACCACTGACCCGTGTCCCTCAGCACCACGTCTGCCCGGCTTTGAAATATCCCCAGGGAAGGCGACTCCACCATTGCCCTGAGCAGCCCATTCCAAGGCTTTACAACCCTTTCGGTGTCAAAATTTCTCCCAATCTCCATCCCAAACCTCCCCTGGTGCAACTTGAGGCCGTTTCCTCTTGTCCCATGGCCTGTTCCTTGGGAGAAGAGACCGACCCCCCCCTGGCTACACCCTCCTTTCAGGGAGTTGGAGAGAGCCAGAAGGTCTCCCCTCAGCCTCCTTTCTCCAGCTCTGAGCCCTTCCTGGGGGCAGCCCCGGGGTGTCCCCCCCCCAGGAACACACGGCCAGGCAGAGCGGTGAAGGAGGGGGGTATTTAATGTGCCATCACTGGCTGCTCCCCCTCTGCTTCACCCCCCCAAAGTGTCCCCAGGGCCCCCCCAGTGTCCCCAGCTCTAGCACGAGCATCTTTTCTGCTTCTCCTCCTTCTCCAGCGCCCGAGCTCGGAGCGGTGCCGGCAGCGAGAGGCTGCACTTCACCCCGTCCCACGCCTCGGTGGCCACCAACCGCCCCGTCTGCAGGGCCTGGTAGATGGCCACCGTCAACATCTGGAAGGCCTGGACCACGTTGCTGGCGTCCTTGGCCGAGGTCTCCACGTACTGCACCCCCAAGGTGGCCGCCAGCTTCTCCGCCTCCCTCCTGCCCACCCGTCGCTGCCTGGCCAGGTCGCTCTTGTGTCCCACCAGCAAGAAAACCATGCGGAAGGGCTGGACGGTGTCGGTCACCTCCCGGTGCCACCGCCGGACGCTCTCGAAGGACGCCCGGTTGGTGAGGTCGAAGAGCAGCATCCCCCCGGCAGAGTTGCGGTAGTAGGAGCGGGTCACGGATCTGGGGGTTGGGGAGGAAGAGAAATGGGGTGAGCAGCCCCCCCAGAACTCCCCTGGGACACCCCATGGCAGCATCTCCCCCACCTGAGGAGCAGCCCAGGCCGTGTCCTGCACCCTGCGAGGGACACGCTGCTCTCAACCCACCCTAAGAGCAAGGAGAATTGTCCCTTTTGCTGTTCCAGCCGGTGTTTGATCCCAGCTCCTCTGCCCCTGCCCGGCCACCAAAGCTCAGCTGTTCCTGCAGCCGTGTCCCCAGAGCTTCCCTGTCCCCTGCAGCCATGTCCCCAAGATCTCCCATCCCCTGTAGCCATGTCCCTGGAGCTCTCCCATCTCCTGCAGCCACAGCCCTGGAGCTCCCTCATTCCCTGTAATTACATCCCTGGAGCTCTCCCATCCCTTGTAGCCATGACCCCCAAGTTCATCTGTTCCTTGTAGCCACGGCCCAAAGCTCTCCCGTCCCCTGTAGCCATGTCCCCAAGCTCTCCCAGCCCCTTTAGCCATGTCCCCGTGCTCGCCCATCACCTGTAGCCATGTCCCCAGAGCTCTACCATCCCTTGTAGCCATGGCCCCCAACCTCATCTGTTCCCTGTAGCCATGTCCCCAAGCTCTCCCATGCTCTTTAGCCATGTCCCCGTGCTCACCCATCACCTGTAGCCATGTCCCCAGAGCTCTACCATCCCCTTTAGATGTGCTCGCCCATCCCCTGTAGCCATGTCCCCAAAGCTTGGCTGTTCCCTGTAACCATGTCCCCAAACTCTCCCATCCCCTTTAGCCATGGCCCCAAACTCTCCCATCCCCTGTAGCCACATCCCCAAGCTCTCCTGTCCCCTGTAGCCATGGCCCCAAAGCTCGTCTGTTCCCTGTAGCCACATCCCCAAGCTCTCCCAGCCCCTGTAGCCACGTCCCTGTGCTTGCCCATCCCCTGTAGCCACGTCTCCAAGCTCTCCCATCCCCTTTAGCCATGGCCCCAGAGTTCTCCCATCCCCTTTAGCCATGTCCCCAAGCTCTCCTAGCCCCTGTAGCCACGTCCCCGTGCTCACCCATCCCCTGCAGCCACAGCTCTGCCATTCTCCCATCCCCTGCAGCCACCTCCACCGACCTCCCAGGTCCCCAGCAGCCAGCCCACCCAGCGTGGGCAGCCCCGGCAGTGAGGTGTGAAGGTTCCCAGCAGCTGAGCTGGGGAAACCCCCCTGCCCAGCTCCCAGTGGGCCCCGAGCCTCTTCTCCCAGCCCTCTGCAGCTGGTGGGGCAGAGGGGGGCTTGGGGGGTCCCAGACCCCCTTTGGAGCTGGAACAAGGCAATCCCAAGAGCTCCTTTCCCTGGGCACACCCTTGGCTTTGGCTCATCTGGAGGAACCACAGCCTGCCCGGTGCTGGGCATCGTGGTTCCTCACCCACAGGACACGGGTGGGAGGGAACAAAGCCCCATCCAGCACCTCCCTGGAGTTGGGAATCACAACATCCCACCAGCACCCCCAAATCCAGAGGGGGGACACCCAGTTCCATCACCCCTCCCCACTGGAGTTGGACCCACCTGAACCGTTCCTGCCCGGCCGTGTCCCAGAACTGCAGCTTCACCCGCAGCCCCGGCTCCAGCTCCACGAACTGGACGTAGAAATCCACCCCCACCGTCTGGTTGACAGCGTCCAGGAAGACACCCTCGGTGTAACGTCGCAGCAACGAGGACTTCCCCACCGTGGAGTCCCCCAACATGATCACCCGGAACTGGTACTGCCACCGCGGCTCCATCGGCACCTCCACCCGCTGCCGGCACCCGCCGCCCCCGCGCCGGGAGCGAGTACGGGCAGGCAGCGCCGGGCTCCTCCACCCAGGAGGCGTTCCCGACCCACCACAGGAGCTGGGTGGCCCTTTGGGAGCCCTTTTCATCCCCTTTTCTCCTTGGCTTCATCCATCCGGAAGCGCTCTGAGGGTCACGGAGTTGTCGGAGTTGGAAGGGACCTTCTAGAGATCCTCCAGTCCAACCCCCCTGCCAAAGCAGGGCTGCCCAGAGCACATCACTCAGGAGCATCCAGGAGGGTCTTGAACATCTCCAGATTTGGGACTCCACACCCTCCCTGGGCAGCCTCTGCCAGGGCTCTGCCACCCTCACCTCAAAGAAGCTCTGCCTCACATTGGAGTGGAACTTCCCATGGTCCAGCTTGTGCCCGTTGCCCCTCGTCCTGTCACTGGGAACCACTGAGAAGAGTCCGGCTCCATCCTCCCTCAACCCACCCTTTAGATCCTTGGAAGCATTGATAAGGTCTCCCCTCAGCCTTCTCTTCTCCAGGCTCAAGAGCCCCAGCTCTCTCAGCCTTTCCTCATCAGGGACATGCTCCAGTCCCTCCATCATCTTTGTTGGCCTAGTCCATGCCTTTGGTGGATGCGTCGCCATCCACCTCCCTTTTCCATGATTTCTGGATCAAACCCAACCTGAGCAACCCCCATCAGTGTAACCATCAGGCAGTACTGATGCTGGAGAGTCCTACAATGAGAGAAAGAAATAAAACTGCAAGACCAGAGTCACGGTGAAATAACGAACTTGCCTGTAATTGCAAGCCTCCTGGCTTTGCTGAAGTCACCTCTCAAGTTCATTATCTCTTGCCGTCCCTGCCTCTGGAGGCACACAAGCACCTAACACTAATAGATGCCGTTTCCTCCAGCTCTTCCTCTCTATTCATCATGCGGGGGGAACTCTGGTTTTTTTTAATAAACTACACCTTTACATAAGGAACATTGCCATTCCTCATCATCAGGTCAGCTGAAGAGAGTCAACCAACAATTTTGAACAAGCCCAAAGCAGCAGCTGCAAAACATGAAGCTGGTTAACGCAGCCTCTACCACAGCTGGATTACCAAGATCAGGCTGGGGATGGAGACTACCTGAATGTAACCAAAAAGAGGAATATTTTCTTCATTTTCTGCCCCAAAACCAAGGAGATGGGAGACGCCAGCTCCTCAAACCATCTCACCAACCACCCAAACCACCTCATATTCAGAAGCAAAATAATATAGAG